CGAGGGTCTGACTCCCTCTAGATCCCAGGATCTTTCCTGGCAACAAGGAAGAGAGGAAAGAAAAGGATGAGAGATTATATCTTTCCCATATCTGGTCCAGATGAAGAGAGGCTGTTCTCTCAGAGACTGCAGATCAGTGCCTGCACTGACAATTCTATTGTCAATGGAATTTTGAAATTGGTCTTCCGGTGGTCATTTACCATTGGACTGTCAGGCTCTGCCTGCCTAAATGAAACTCTATGCTGTGACTGGATCCATGCGGAACCAAGAATTATTTGGGCTACACCTTTAATGGCTCTCCATTGTTCCCAGGATAAAGTCCTAACGTCTTAGGAAGATTTATGGGCCATTCTTGGATTTTTCTGATTCTCTTTCCAACCCTCTCTCCCATCACTGCTTCTTCTCATCTTAGATTCTAACCAAACATACCTTGTTCCTTCATATCCTGCCTTGAGACCTGTAGTTTACTTTCTGTGCTATTCCCACCGACCTGTCTGCCTGACCATGTCCTGCTAGTGCTTTAAGACTCTGCCTGCCTCTCCTCATCTCCATCTCTTTGATCTCTTACTATTCCCACCTTTAACCTTGGGCTGGGCTTGTGACGGATAAAGGAAGGATCGATTTTACCTACTCTGTTTTTTCACTTTGTGTTGTTTTGTTTTGTTTTGTTTTTTACCTCTACATCTGACCTGTGAATATTCTTATTAATCATCCACCCATGGCACTCTGCTGCTTCAAACATTTCAATGATATTTATTTGATCTCTGGATGAGAGAGGGTTTTCTAAGCACAAAAGCAATGGAAGAAATCACTAAGGGAAAGAAAATCAATCCATTTGACTACATGAAATTTAAAACTCCTGGATGTCAGAAGCCATTCTAAACAAAACTAAAAGGCAAATGACAAGGCTGGGGAAAATAGATGCAATAAATATGACAAAGGGTTGTTATCCTCGATATATAAAGAGCTCATATAGGTCGATAAAAAAATATTAAAATCCCGGGAGAAAAGTGGGCAAACAACATGAATAAGTAAGTAGCTAATAAACACATGAAAAATGTTTAACTTCACCAGTAGTCAGGGAAATGCAAATTAACACAAGGCTGAGCCATGTTCGCCTATCAAATTAGGATAAAGTTAAAAGGCTGGTGAGAGTGCAGAGATCATCTGGTAGTTTTCTAAGAAAAAATTAGAGCCTTTCAACTTTCAATAAATCCTTACCTCCCAGCGAAAGAATCCAGGATCTAGTCCTCACCTTGCTTTCCTGGTTTATATCCCAACATCCCCCCACCACCCATCTGACACTGGCAATAGTAATCTGAGCACAGTATGGAAGCCCTACTGTACACAGCCCTTCCTGGGTCCTCTGTCCCTCTCTGCCTCCACCTTTTCCCACCCACCCAATCTTCTCCCTGCTAACTACTACTTCTTGACAATTCTGACACATTTGCCACCTTTGGGAAACTCTTGTGAGATGGGTTAGGTGCCTCTGCACTGTGCTCTCATTACACACATCCCCTCACATGGCACTTACTGCATTATATTGAAAATGACTCTTCATGGGTTTCTTTCCACCTTAGATTATATGCCCCTCAAGAGAGACATTATATTTTCATTCATTGCTATATCATGGAGATGCTCAACAAATGACTCTTGAACTAATCCATCATGTAATAAATTAATTATTCCATTTTGCCCCATAAATTTTTGCCACTAATCTGGTAAATGCACGCTTTACTTAAAACGGATCAAATTAAGTCATGTTGGATGGAAAGAATACCTCACCTGTGCCCCAGCCTTCATTTTAGTATCCATGTACTATCATCCCATGGGTTGTAACCGATTAGTGAGCCATGAAATTAATTTATGGGTCACAACCATCATTTTTAAGTGGAAAATATTAAAACTAGAAGAAAATGGGATGACACTGGTATCTGCTACTTCCTTCCCACTGCGGATTTCCCCACCTGCCACCCCCAGGCAGGCAGAGGTGGTTGGTTGAGAACCCAAGGAGGGGAGCTGAGGTTCCTGCTCTGATTCTTACTAACTCCAGGAAGTTAACTGATCTCCCTAGGCTGTGGTTTCCTAATCTGTGAAACAGGAATGATAAAAACACAGATGAGATGAAACAGCAAGGACCCAGTTATGCCACAAATTCTTAAAACTCTGTCCATTAGCTTTTCTAACATAGAGAGTGTTGAAATTGATCAGAAGCCTACCTGACCCTATCCCTCCAGCACTTTCTGTTCTGATGCCTCACCCCTCTTCCTCCTTCCTAACCAGTTGACCATCTGGCTTTCTACCATGTTTGAGTCATGGGCCCCTCAGACTCCGGGGGAAAAGATGTATTCAGTGGCATCAGGCAAATTTATGGGCCCTGGAGACTAACATCACAGGGTATAAAGTAAATGACTTTCTAAATTGCAAATCTGACCTAGTCACCTCCTTGCTCAAAGCCTTTCTATGGTCCCTATTACCATCAGATACAGCTCCTGCTCCTCAGTATGACCTATAGGGTCCTCCATGATCTGACACCCTGTCCATTTCACACTCCAGCCTCTGCAATCACCTGCATTTCTCACATCAGCCATGCTCTCCCGGCCCTTCTCTGTGTTGTCCCGTCCACCCAGAACACCTCTCTGTCCCTTAGTCTTGACAGGGGCAAGTGTTCCTCCCAGGTCTCTTCCCTTCCCTCCCACCTCCAATTTCAAGCTCTGCACCCTCCATCACCACACTGCACAGCCGAGGTTCAGTCAGCTGCTCATTTGTCTCTCTTGCTTCCTCAGGACAGGGATGGTGCCTTCTGTTCGCAGCCCCAGCATCTAGGACATTTGCCCCCAGAGTGAACAAACAGGACATGCTTGTGGGAGGGAAGGGATGAGAAGGGAGATGGAGGAGGGTAGAGAGGAGAAAGGAAGAAATAGATGGAAATTCTTCATTTGACACCTTCCCAAGATGTTCCAAGTCATAGAGCATCTCAGGGGCTTGGAGATGTAAGTCATTTTCTAAAGATCAGGCTTATGTGGGCACACAGATTCATCTCTGGAAAGAAGAAACTATGGAATGGGGCAGGTCAAGGTAAGCACCCCAGTAAGCTGGATGCCAGAACATGTGCCCCAACTGGAAGATTTCACAAGCTGGAGGAGGCTCCCTGGGCCATGTTCTGGAGAATGTGAGCTTGAGTAATCAACCCTGGGAACACTGATAAGAGGCTAAGAGTTTTGACTGTCTTCATGTGAACATACTTGGGGTAGGGCAGGGACAGGGCTGGGCCGCTCTCCCTACTGCAGTGATTCCAGAATTTTGTCCACTCAGTTCCAGAGCTTATGAACAGAAACCACTGCTCAGACAGAGCCATGGTAACTGAGGTACTTGCCACCATTTGGGTCACCTGCCTCAGGATGGGGTCGAGGGGGGACTTGGGGGAAAGAAGCATTAATATTGGCTAATTAGTACAAGGCCCATAACTGGACATTTCACATATACCACTTCATTTGATTGACATACCCATCCAATGAGGTAGTAAGTAAGCCTTGATTTTATAAGTAAGAGAGCTATGGACTAGAGGTTAAGTAACTTGTCCAAGCTTATACAGTAAATGACTGAGCCCAAATTTGAACCTAATTCTGTTTGATTTCAAAGATTTTATTCTTTTCATACTCAATTTCTGTCTCTGAGTAATTCCTTCTTCATTCAGAATTTGAGTCAAGGTAGGAGGGGGAGCATGTCATAGAAGATCTGCCACCATAAACAAAAACACCAATGATCTAGGGACCTGGATGTGTGCATCCTCTGGGAACCATGCCTGGCTGGATCCCCTGTGCTCACCAACCAGGCCATCTTGAGGGAGAAGGTAACTTCAGCCAACTCTCAAAGGGCCAAGAGGAGTAGGGTTGCCTCCCCCTCCAGACGGTGCTTTCCCCTCAGCCAACACCTACCTTATCCAGAGACTTATTTGTCCTCTGCTGGAGACAAAAGAAAACCTACCCAGCAGCAGAATAAGAGATCCCACAGTCTAGCAGACACTTCCCTGCAGCAACCCAGGGCTTCAGGAAGGCACTGGGACTGGCCAGAGCTCCCAGAAGGGAAGTGACCTTGGGTGTGGCTCCAGGGATGCTGGCAAACTTCACCCCCACCATGCCAACTTGCAGCTGCCTCTCAGGCTTAGAGCTCTGATCCAGGTTAAAATGAAGAGGCATTTACAACTGTGACAACCATTGCAACCCTAACAGAAAGTTGTTTCCAATCTGGCTAGGAATGCAGGTTTTGAAAGAAAGAGAAACAAACAAAACAAAAAAACAGGAGGACTGTGGATGTCTCCCTGCAGAGGCCACAAATGGAATAGTCCAAGCAGCTTTGTGGACATTTCCCATTCACAGCCTACCAGTAGGACGAGAAAGTTAGCTACACTTAGCAGAGGGTCAGAGCTGATGGGAATGGACAACCCAATAAGGCACCCCGGTAATCAGGAATCCATCCATCAGTACAATGGGAGCTAACTCCAGCTTTCCGCTCCTGACTCCACTTCTCAGGTGGGAATGGTATACAACGTGCTGGTCAGAAGCATCCTGCTTTCCAGGAGAGAATGGACTGTGCCCAATGGCACATTTCAGTGACAAATGAGGCCCCAGTCTTGGACTTGAGAATATGGGTTCCTGGGTCTCTAGAATAAGACTGATACATCCGCTGCTGAGGCAGGACAGAGAAAATGAAATGGGACCGGACACAGCATCCGAACATGCTAAACAGCACAGCATATGAACCACAGCAGCCCCCAAGCCAGAGCCCTCACCTGAATGCAAGGTTGGCTCTGAGGTCCTGGGAGGAAGCAAAGTACTTCAGTCTCTCCTATACACCTATGATGGCAATCACATAATTTGGATATATGTCCTGATTATGCCATTGTGATTCTGGGTCCCACAAAGATCTCCAGTCATATAAATGGCCCTCATCTTTCAAAACTTGCAAAACAAACAGATATCAAGAGAAAGAGGAACATATCCTTCATGGATATCATTGTTCATGTGGAAATGACTTTATGGTGATACTTCTGCCTAAACTCTGAAGGGTCTTTAAATATCTCTTTTTGGGTCACACACACAAGGTATCCACAGGATTCTGAGGCTCTCTTCTTCCATCCTTGGCCCTCAAAGACGTCCCAGCACACCGCATACGTTGGAACTGGACTCAAGGAGCATTCAACTAGACAGAAATCTAAGTGTATGTTTACTGTCCTCCTAGTGGTAACGAGACAGAATTGCAGGCCCAGCGACAGAAGACAGAAGAATCCACCCTGCGGTCTGGCAAAGCCAAACCTGGGGAGAAGGTTTCAAAGGGGAAGAGGGCCTCAGATGCCTCGGGGACCAGGCAGACACCACAAATCAATGAAAAGGGACTAGGTGAAAGAGTACAAGCCCTGTCAAGAGACAACACCTACTGAGTTCCAGCTGATTGTCTTCTGAAAATGCATATCAGAGTGGCCTTATCTTCTGATTGTCTATAAGAAGCCAGAATCTCTGATTTTCATGCAAGACCTTGTGGGTTTCAGACAGTGGCTCACTTTTCTTGAAAATGCTAAGTGAGCTCAATCAAGCAGACGCTCCACGGGTTTCCAGAGCTCTGCTGCACAGAGGGTGAGCATCAGCTCGTGTAACTGCAGTGTTAGACTGCCACTCACCAGCCACCGCTGGCAACTGCAGCAGAGGCATCAGCTCTGCACAAACAGCAGGACTCCTGAGCCACAGAGCATAACTAATGGTGGGGCGGTGGGGGGATGGAGTGGGAGGGGTGGAGGAAGGAGGGCTGGGGGCTGGGGGGGGGAGCAGAGGCTCCACTTGGAGCCACTCCGGGGACCACAGCAGGCACTAAATGGCCGACTGCTCCTGCAGGAAACCTTCAGGGCCCGGGAGGCCTTTATCTGTCTCAGAAGCCAGGGCTGCTTCTCGAAGGACTTCCAAGTGCTCCTCGGCAGCTGACAGTGACTGGTCGATCCAGTCCAGGCCCCCGGCCAGGTGGCAGGCATTCCGGGTCACCAGTGCGAGATGGCTGACCGACAACAACAGAGCAGTTGTCCTAGAAAAAGTAACAGGATCAGGTTCCCCGGGAAATGAGCGATTTTGCGCCAAAGCCCATGGAGACAGGCTCTAATCTGGAGTTCTCTAAACTGGAGGCCCTTCCCTAAGAGGCTGGGGAGTAATTTAAGGATGATCCCATGCTCAAATCAATCTGGGAATGGCTGGTGTAATCAGGGTTAAGTGAAGCCTTCTCTGAGCCTTTAACGTGCATGGCAAAGCTCTGAGGAAAGAACACAGCAGTGTGGTGGCTCACTGACATATTTAAGACTGTCGAGCCTATTTTCTGCAGCCCACCTATTAATGTCTCGCAGATGAGCATTTTGCAGGACAATTCAGATCTAGTCAACTGGATGAGCACATCCCCAACTGCTGTCCACTTATAGATGGGAAGCCTAGATATGCCCTGGCTGGGGCATCCCTTGTGGATTTTGAATCAATGAGGCCCTGGGCTGGTTTATACCTCTCTAAAAACAAAATGTAATTGAAAACCAAATTGAGGAGGAGTGGAGTTTTTTCCCAGTATGGGGAGATTCACTGTAGAGTATCATTTATATAGTGAGTGTGCATGATGATGCATTTGGGAACGTATTACACCAGTACTAGCCTGTGGACACAGCTGGACAGTAATAGGAGCAGGACTGTCTGACTGGAAGCACCGAAGCACTGGGAGCCCCTGTCTATCTGACAATCATCACACAACAGCTCTATGAAATGGTCATGTAAGTCCAAGAGACAAAAGAATCTGGTTTTTTTAATGGGTTTGCATCTGGTGGAGGAATCTAATTTCAAAAGCCTAAGTGTGCTCAGTGTACTAGGGGAGGATCACGCAAGGGGGTCTTGGGTATGTCCTGTGAAAGGTGAGCACAGCTTGAGCTGACTGGTCCCTTCCCTTCCCCTTGCCCTGCTTACCACCTGCCCCACCCACCTACTGGGCAGCACTCACAGCTAGGGTGTGTCTGCTTCCGGGATCCAAAGAGCAGGGTAGCCCGTGGGGGAAAGGGAAGGAAGGAAAGTGCATATAGGCCAGATGTTTAGTTATAAAAATTCAAAATCTTTGGTGCCCAAAGGCCAGGCAGCCCTGGGAGCCCAGCAAAACAGCCCTCTCCACGACAAATGTGGACCTCACAGATGTGATAAAACAATGAGCTTCCAGCCTAAGCCAAAAGGCCCCCACCCCGCTCACCGGGCATCCAGGAGCTTGGGATCCAATGGAGGGTACATCGATCTCACCACATCATCCACTCTGTGGGGAGGCAAAAGGTTTTCAGTACCTTGCTTTCCTTCTGTCCTCTTCTCCTTCTTCCCTTCCTATCTTTCCTTGTCCCAATTCTTCTCTCCTGATAGTCAAGCCCCAACCTTTGGTGATTCTTTCTCTAACTGCTTTTGCATCCTCAGACAGACTGAAACAGAAAGACTTCTGGTTCAGCTTAAAGAATATTTTGTTTTCTGGTTTTAATTCTCCATAGTTTAAAAAGTATAAGTTCACACAATCTGGAATGGTGTTCAAGATACACTACTAAATTAAATAGGCAAGCTGCTGAACACTATATAAAGTTTGAGCGATCCGTTTGCATGAAAATAAATAAGCATGCAGGAGCAGGATAGCATGCAGAAACACTCACCATTCACTAGTGTCACCTCAAGGGATTGGGATGAGGGGGAATTAGGGGTTCCTTCACTTTCCAGATAATCTATTTCTGCAATGTTTTGACTTTTATAAGTATTTATTACTGTTGTGTTTAAAAAATAGTGCAACATACTTATATAGAATGCTTAAAAAAAAACCCTACAAATTTAATTTGGGTTCAAACTGCTCCATTGGATTTCCTCTTTTACATTAGGGTACAATTTGTGTTTATTTTTTTAAAACTAAGTTCAAGATTTTAGTTATTTATTCATGAGAGACAGAGAGAGAGAGAGCAGCAGAGAGACAGGCAGAGGGAGAAGCAGGCTCCATGCAGGGAGCTTGACGTGGGACTCGATCCCAGGCCTCCAGGATCACACCCTGGGCAGAAGGTGACGCTAAACTACTGAGCCACCCAGGCTGCCCTAAAACCAAGTTCAGAAAGGAATTACTGTTCATTCTGATTTGCATGGTTCAAGATTTTCATCCAAATCCTTGCTCCTGGACCACTTGATAGTTAGGAAGAAAGAATAATGATGTATTGTTTGATTTGAAAAAGCACTTGAAAATAGATGCTCTCCAATGTTCTTGTCTCAGGGCTGAGGGGCTGGTGAGGACATGCTGAGGAACATGGGCTGCTATTTTTGCTGGTCCCTTTCTCTGGAGTGCCCTGAAGCTGAAGCCACTCATCTCAAAACTAATATTCTATCAACACACTATGTGGAATAAATAGAGCAAGAAAAACAATGGTGACAAAAAAACAGCCAGAAGGAGAAAAAAGTGTAAAGGCAAAAAGATAAAGCAAGGACACTGACTGAATTATGGCAGGAAACATTCGGGAAGTAGTCCAAGGGGCTTGGTAGGACGGGCCAGAGGGCACCAGGTTAGGGGTGTCCTCTGAGCAGTGCTACAGTGCTAAACCCTCCCTCTCAGAGCACAGCTAATCCTCATCACGGAGGACTTCGTTCCTCCCCAGAAATCTCAACCTCTTTCCTCCTCCTACCCCTCCTTACAACCAGTTATCACATGAACTTCACCAACCCCAGGGTGGCTCTTAGCAGGGCCTGGAAGTATGATGAAGGTCCAGCAGATACAAGCGGTGCAGAGTCTCTACCAACAATGGGTGGCTAGAGGAGCGCCTGGTGCTTGTGTGGAGCCTGGGCTGGAGGATCCTCCAGCCAGGCTGATACAAGTCCTGTAGTTACACCCACCCGGGACAGCTCCAGAGAAAGCCAAGAACTGTTCTGGGCTGAGTTCCCTGCCTCCCTCACCCAGCCCGGATTATCTCCCTCCCACTTTCTCAACTCACTGAACTCCCTGGACAGAGTTCAAGGGCACCAATTCTTTCATATTCCTTCAGAGGGCTGGTTCCTCATGATCTACCTGAGGCCATGCAACCAAGAGATCGAGAGCCCCTGGAACTCACAGGGATGCCAACACTCCCACCAGGGACGTGGAGGCATGGTCCTGACAGTAAGGCTGTCTGGCTAATTAAGAAGTCCCTCCTAGAGGAGGGCAACTCCCGACTCAGGCACATCCACATACCGGTCACCAGATGGCAGCACAAACTCAGTACCACCCTTCTCCCTAAGAAAAGGGCTTTATATTTTTCCACAAAGTCAAGCCCAAAATGAGGGGGTGTAGTTGTTGACTGCAATCCTGCTGGTTGCCTCCTACATGGGATTTTGCAGACAGCCTGGAATTTGGGAGATCTGAATGAAGTATGGCTTTGCCTCCCTCCCCCACCCAGTCCCGGAGGACACTGGCTGGGCTATGGCTGGATAAGTGGGTGACAGGGAAGTGGCAAGGAGTATAAATAGGGCTGGGCAGGGCATAGCCAGCAGGCCACTGCAAATAGGGGTGTGGACACCAGTGGGAAATGTGCTTACTGGCCCACAGCCTGGGACGGAGGGAAGGAAGGTGGCCCTAGATGGTATGGGGCTGAGAGGAAGCAGCCACAGTAGGATCTGCAGAATGGATTAGAAGATTCAGCACTAGTCTCATGCTAGAATTCCCCAAAAAGCAGACCAGAGGGGGCCTGTGGGAGGTGGGGGGGGGGGGGAACTGTGTGAGACCACCTTGGCTTGGTCTCTTAGTATCTAAACCCTCCCAGATGCTCTATAAATACAGGGACACCTGGGTGGCTCAGCAGTTAAGCATCTGCCTTCAGCTCAGGGAGTGATCTCAGGTCTGGGGATCGAGTCCCGCATCGGGCTCCCTGCATGGAGCCTGCTTCTCCCTCTGCCTATGCCTCTGTCTCTCTCTGTGTCTCTCATGAATAAATAAATAAAAGCTTAAAGAAATGTCTGGGATACAAGTAATTAAAGTTGGCTGTGCAGTTTCTGCTCCCTCAGCTTCCTGTCCCCTCTGGAGTGTGGGGACCCCAAGGCCCACCAGCTCACCTCGGGCTGATCCGCTTGGCTACCACGATGATGTCACCAACACTGGCTGAAGTCTTCATCTTGGCCCCGGAGCCCATTGTCATGGCAACAAGTTTTTCTGTCAGAGTGTGACATATCTAACACCACAGGGAGGAGAGAGGTGATAAGGGGTGCCCTGGTTCCCCAAGAGCACCTGCCACACCCACAAACAAACATGACTCCTGCCTGGGGTTCCATCCCACACCCGGGAGCCCCTAAACTAGTGAGCGAGCTGAGGTGAAAAGCACACAGAGATGAGGGATGGAAGAGGCAAAAGCCAAGAATGTGGCCGGGTGAGGGGAGGAGGTGGGAACCTCAGATCAGAATCAGGGTTTCGGCTTAGAGAAGTCTAAGCTGAAATAATCTGTCTAAGAAAAACCATGTGCTCTAACTTCACCTTCTCGTTTGGGGGAAAAACCTACTTTCTCTTTCTATCCTTTCACCTCACAGTTTAGTCTTCCAGAAGGCAAAATCTTTCCAGTGGGGAACCCTCAGAAACAGCTGGACAAGGGGCAACTGTTCCCTTGAAGCATAACCTCCAGAACTGGCACTTAGTTCAACAATTTTCTAGAGTGATTTAGCAAGTTTGTCAACAGGATGATGGTGAAAGGGTCTTCGAAAAAGGCAGGAAAAAGGCAAGACTACAACACAAGGCCTTTGTCATCCTCCATCAACAGTGCTGATCACCCCAAAAGTTTGGTTTCTCCCCTTCCACACACCCCCTCAATGTTAAAACCTGGATGTGCTTCCATCCCTGGCAAATAAGTTCCATTGCCCTGCTTTAACTTGGTGCTGGAAAGGAGGCCAGAAAGAAGGCCAAGAGAGAGCTGAGGCCACAGGGACTCAAGGGCAGGTGGCCAAGCAATAGGGACGTCAGATCCCAGGGTCTCTCCTTTGATGGCAGACTCTCAGGATGGGCTATTGGTTCCAGTCCAGTAGGACTCCTTCCTGCTGACTTATCCTTCCCCTCATGTAATTTACCCTCTCCCTCCAATAGGCAAGGGCAGGGCCAAAACCCAGCGCTGGAACACATCCTCGTTGGGAGTTGGAAGTGGAATATGGCATTATTGCTCTGGTCATTAGACCTATCTATCTGAAACCATACCTACACCAAAAGAGCTTCTTGAAATTAAGTAATCCCGGACTCTATGGCAACAATTTCCTACTAGGCACTCCTTTGCTTCCCAAGAGAGGCAGCTAAAGGAGAGGTGGGATGAAAGACTTCTTAGCTTTTATTTTTATTTGTGTGTTTGTTTGTTTAGTTAAGTAGGTCCCATACTCAGCCTGGAGCCCAATGTGGGGCTTGAACTCACAAACTTGAGATCAAGACCTGAGCTGAGATCAAGAGTCAGACACTCAACTGACTGAGCTACCCAGGCACCCCGAGAGACTTTTTAATATGTTGTATTGAATGACATTGAAGAAAAGATAAAAATGTCTTTCTGGACAAAAAGAAAAATTTGTAGTTTCCTAGGTTACTGAGATGAAGCACTCAATAATATCTGCAATTGACCAATATTTCACTACTATTATTATTCTATCAGGCAAGAATTTAAAAACAAATGATAAAATTATAAAAATTACCCCAAACCACAAAATCTAGCAAAAATGCAAATCGGATGCAATTTTTCCATCCAATCATGGAGGCGGCAGGATTTAGAAGAAAAACAGTCTGCCTTCAAGTGTTCACGGTTTGGATTTTTCAACACCGATTGTCTCATTTGGCTAATTACTGTCCCAGCCAGAGAGGACCAGTAAAGGACTTTCTAGCAACAGGAGAAATCCAGACACGGAACTTGACTCATTGAACAAAGGGCCAAGCTCTATTAATGAAAGAAAGGGCCCAAGGAAAAGGTGCGGAGCCCCGCTCCCCCTCAGCAGCCACAGAGACCTCCCCAGTCGGCGACCACCTATGTGGTCACCATATTAGGAGGACCGGGTAAAAATAAAACCTTTGAGAGGGTCATGAGAGCACGAAAGTATAACAGGCCATCCAGGAGGGAGTAGAAACAGCAGAAATTTCAAGTGTCAGGCACGTTTTAAAAAGGCCTCTCGCATGGGTTCAGTGCCCTTCCTAGAAAGATCGCTTTCAACAGTCTGTGTACAAGGGTGCTTTGATGACACACACCCCCACCCCCGCCTTATGTCATAGGAAATCAAAAAGTATTACCTTCAAGATGGCAATGCAGTGGGACATGAGACCTCTGGGGAGACAGGAAGAATTTGTCAGTGCTTCCTTGCCAAGGTCCAGCTCACTCCTGTTGCCAGCTCTGCCCCTGATCTAGCGCTGACCCACCTGGACACCACCGAGAGCAGGAATGCCTCCAGATTAAACTGGACAAGTCCACGAGCTACATCAGGAGGCACCTTCTTTCCTTTACTTTCCCCCTCCCACATCCAGCTGACTCTTCCAGGTGGTGCTCACCTGTCAAGACATGCTTTCTTAGAACTCTGAGCTTCTGACACTGTTCCCTCCAGCTCATGTGTCCTTCCCCTTACTCTCAACCTGGTGAACACCTCATCTTCCAAGACTCAGGTGTAAAGGCACCCACTCTGTGGTAGACTTCATGAAAGTCACCCCCACCTCCCCATCCCGGGCAGCTCTAGAGATTGCCAACTCTGTGTGTCCACGGCACCATGTGCAGAGACATGCTATGGCTTTGGAGATACTGTATTTAGTAGAATTCTGTCCCTCTCACCAGTTTAATATCTGCAGTAACTGGCCCAGGGTCCTACACATAATGCCCCCCACACATCTGCCCCATGAACAATAAGAGCATGGACCCATGTAGAGGCTCCTGCTGGATAGAGCCCAACATGTAGAGGGTCCTGCTGGGTGGAGAGATCCCTGAAGGACCCCGAAGACGAAGGCTTCATCTCTGGAGCCTGAGTGTCAAGTTTACAGGCACCCTAAGGATAATCCAAGCACATCAGGGTGACTTTGTAACAACTTTTGCCATACATCTATGGGCTTTGGTATTTAGGCCTACTAAATGGGGGAGGAGGGAGACAAACACTGTCATATCATAATCTGATCTCCTGCCTCCCATACTGCAGGCAGGGAAAAAAAGATCAGTTGGCACAGTGCTCCTAGACACACAGTAGTGCCGTGGCAAAGGAAGCCAGAGAAGAGCACCCAGAAGCCCCATTTGCCATCCTAGGGGGACTGCAGGAAGCAAACAGTCCCAAAGGCCTTACGAGGCATCTTCAATCCAGTCTTCATTCTCTAGAATGGCTTCGATGTGGGGATTGGTGATGACCACATCGTCCAGTTCTAACTCAGATGGCTCCGACTGGGTCTCCATGGCACCAATGAGGTCCACGATGGGCCTGGAAGGAAAAGCCCAGGAGAGTGGTTTCATGATGGGTGACTGTTGCTGAACCTCTCCTCACTGAGGCCCACATATCCCCCAACAGAGTGTAGGAAGTGAGTAAGTTAAAGCATTGACCTCTTGTCCTGGATCCAAACCTAACCCTAGGTACGGCAGGTGCGGGCTGGACACACGGCTAGAGGTGAGTCAAGGAGGCAGGTAGCAGTGCTTAAGAAGAAAAGTGAAGCAGAACGAGATGAGCGCTAAGAGAAATAGCAGAGGCATAACCATAAATATAGACATGTATTAGACAGGGCTATTCCTTCTGCATAAAATAGCATCCTTTTCAAACTTCTTTTCCCTTTGGGGTGACTAGGTGGCTCAGCCGGTTAAGCATCCGACTCTTGATCTCAGCTCAACTCTTGATCTCAGGGTGGTGAGTTCAAGTCCCACATTGGGCCCCATGCCCACCATGGAGCCTACTTAAAACAACAACAAATAACTTATTTTCCCTTCAAGCCTACCTTATACAGAGAAGCTGAAGTTCCTATTATCCAAACCTACCTCGTCTGGAGAATCACTCTCAGGAAGGGCCCTGGTCTGCCCACATCAACTCCATTCCCTCCTCATTCTAGTGGAGAAGTGGGAGAAGCAACAACACCTACTTTACAACGGGGTTCTTTACAATATAAGATGCCATAACCTGCTGTTTAATAGCATAGCTTTTCTGGGTCATATAAACAGCCATTTACAAATTATTCACCACTTGACAGAGACGCTGATAGGATTCAGATAGAGGGATAAGAGGAACTAAGGGTTAATTGCCATGTCCCTTACAAGTCTATCAAGTAAAACATTCTTAAACGGAAAATAGGATCTTGTTCATAAAATCTGTCGTGCATAAAATGCATCATGAAGAAATCTGTGCAAAGAAAGAGAGAGTGCCATGCTGGGATTTCACAAAATTGAGTATCTGCTGCTTCCATGTGTGTGGTTGGAGTACAGGCCTAGGATTTCCATTCCTAGGAGTTTGGCTGGAAAGAGGTTGGGCTTATTCAAATGCCAGGTGAAGTGGCTAGTTCCGGTTAGATGGCCACACCTTTGTGCTAGGTGAACAGTTCAGGCCACTTTACCCTTAGTGCAGTCTCAGAGTCAGAGAAGGCTCAGGACATTGCTCAGGCTCCAGATCTCTCTCTCTGAAAGCACCATTTTATTTCTTATTTCTTTTTTTTTTTTTAAGATTTTATTTATTTACTCACAAGAGACACAGAGAGAGGCAGAGGGAGAAGTAGGCTCCCTGTGGGGAGCCCCATGTGGCTCTTGATCCCAGGACCCCAGGATCACGTCCTGAGCTGAAGGCAGATGCTCAACCACTGAGCCACCCAGGCACCCCGAAAGTACCATTTTAGACACAAAAAGCTGAGTGAGAGTTGCCCAGTACAGAACTTCTTGGGCTCCTCTCTTTTTCTGTTGCTGGAGCCCCCGGCAGAGCCCACTTCCCCTCCTGGCCCTCCTTGGATCCACTCACTTGGAATCATAGCGCTGCAACAGGTCTCGAGGCCGGCAGTAGCGCTGCCTGCAAACCACCACCAAGGCTGCAAACGAGGCCAGGAAGATGGTGGCCAGCACACCTATGGCGACAATCACCACAGTCTCCATGCTTCAGGGTGGCTCTCTCCGTTCCTGTCACATCCCCAGCATGGGCTAAATCTTAGAAGACAAAAGGACAGAGCAGACCTTGGTAAAGAGAGTGGGGCAGTAGGGGGGGGGGGGGTCTTACCTGCTGTGTGTGTGTGGGGGGGAGCACAGAGAGCCAGGTTCCCCCAAGTCACTTGCAGAGACCTGAGGGCCTGAACAGAATCAAGATGCATTTTATGTCCTGCCCCAAATTTGCCTTTTGTAAGAGTTTGCCACCTGCTGAACCAGGATGGCTTTTTAAATCTAGACAAAAGGAAGCATTTTAACTAGCCCTATTGTTTCACACCTCCACCAAGTGCATGAAAGAATATTCTCCTAAGAAGGGCAGGATTGCGGTTACTCGAATCTACTCTGTGCCAGAGTATGTTAACTCTTCTCACAATCCTGTGGTAGGTATTAGTACCCCCATTTTACAGTTGAGAAAACTGAGGTTCACAGAGGTTAAGTAATTTGTTGGGGTTTCTGTGGTCAGAAAGCAGAACCCATCCACTGAAACTGAGATGAGCATTCACCTCCCTTTGTCTTCCTACAGAGGGAAGAAGGTTCTAAAAATTCTGCAAAGGGATTTGATGGTCAGTTTCAGTTTTGGAAACTTATAACTGATGTTAAAGTGTCCTTTGGCTATTGACTGTTTTCGATGAGGATGTTCTTTCACACCTATTTTAGACTCCAGCAGAAGAACAAGGGCACCTCCGAGAAGTATGTGTTCATTGCAGTCTCCTACTTGTGTGCCTTTGAGCAAGTCTCTTCCCCAGTCTGGGCTTTAATTTCTCCACCTACAGAAGAGGGGCTTTGATCTAGTTCCTATGACCCCAGGATGATGCAGGACTTATTCTATACTACATGTCTCCTAGGGTCCACATGTTCCTGGTTATCATTCGATAAGTATTTTTTTAAAGATTTATTTACTTATTTTTATTTATGATAGACACACAGAGAGAGAGAGAGAAAGAGGCAGAGACACAGGAGGAGGAGGAGCAGGCGCCATGCCCGGGGCCCGACGTGGGACTCGATCCCAAGACTCCAGGATCGCTCCCTGGGCCAAAGGCAGGCGCCAAACCGCTGAGCCACCCAGGGATCCCCGATAAGTTTTTTTTTTTTAAGATTTTATTTATTTATTCATGAGAGACACAAAGAAAGAGGCAGAGACACAGGCAGAGGGAGAAGCAGGCTCTACGCAGGGAGCCCGATGTGGGACTCCATCCCGGGACCCCAGGATCATGCCCCTGGCTGAAGGCAGGCACCAAACCGCTGAGCCCCCGGGTGTCCCATTCGAGAAGTATTTATTGTTCATCTGCTAGACACCAAGCACTAGGCAGGATTCCGAAGACGAGATAAGTGAGGCACGGACTCCAAATCTTGAGGAGGGAGGAAGAGGTGGACAAGTGGACAAGTGTTTGCCGTTTGTCGCCCCCCTCTCCCCCAGCTCCACTCCGTGTCTATGCCACATGACAGAGTACACAGACAAGAGGTAATTGCGCTTGCATGACATTTTCTAGGGAAAGCCCTCCTTACAGGCAGGGGATATTTGAGCTGGTTTTGAAGGATGAGTAGGAGCTTGCCAGGTGGACTATATGCACACTCGGCTGGCTCAAAGGGCCAAGGAGCCTTTCTCAAAGGTTTCACAGAGGAGCTACTCTACCACCTGGAACTCACTTCCTCGGGAGGGCGGAAGGCTGGGTAGGTCTGTGTCTTTCATTTCTGTATCTACGGGGGGGGGGGGGGGGGCGCACCGCGGGAGACAGGAGCTAATTCTCAGGGTCTGCCTCAGTTTCTCCCGATGTGTGTCTCTCGGCACTGTGCCTCCTAAAGGGCTACTCCTTCGGCCCTTTGTCTCCATCTTCCTCTCCGGACACCCTCCCCCCTCGGCCGTGTCTCCCTTCCCCTCCCCCGCGCCGCGGCCTCCGAGACCACCCGCTTTGTTTCGGCTCCGCCCGGGGAGGGGGGACACACGCGCTTTCCCCGAGTTCTCTCTCTCCCTCCCTGGTTCGCCGCGGGCGTGTCTGCGTGTTTCCCTCCTCTGTGTATTCACTCTTCTCTGAGGGTCTCGGGATGAGGTTTTGTCTCTGCCCGTGCAGAGCGCGGGGAGGCCTGGGTTTCCGCGGGAGGGGTGGGTGGGGGCGCCCGGCCGCCCACCGCGCCCCCCTGCGCTCCACGGCCACCTGGATGAAGCAGCCCCAAGTCCCCCCCTCCTCCCCCGCTGCCCGCCCCCCCCCCCCGGGTTGGAGGCACGACCCCTCCCCACCCCACCCCCCGCCTAGCGGGCGGCCCCGGGGCGCGGCGACCCCACCGAGGGCCGGCCGGGCTCCCCCCGGCCCCGGCTGCGGCCCCGACGTCCCCCCGGCCCCGCGCGCCCGGACCCCCCAGCTCCCGCGGCGCCAGGGCGCGGCGGGGCCCACCCACCTCAGGCCGCGGCCGCAGGACGCACCGGGGCGCTCCGGCCGCCTGCGCCCCCGATGGCAAAGTCCGGGCGCGGGACGGGCGGGCGGCCCCGCAGCGGGGCATGCCGGGAAGAGGCTGGGCTGTCCCGAGGAGTCGAGATAAAGTCCCGGGGGGAGGGGGGATCCACCGCGCATCCAAATCCCCCGCTGCCAGGCGCCGCCGTCCCCGCCGGGCCCCGGGGCGGGCGGGGGGCTGGGGCCGCGGGAGGCCTGGCTGCAGGGAGGCCCCCACCCCGCCACCCCGCCACCCCGCCACCCAGCCACCCAGCCACCCAGGAGGCGCTCCTCCCCCCAGCCCCCCTCCCCAGCCAACCCCAGGCCTCGGGGAGGGAGGCCGCAGGGTCCTGGCCCACCCCCAGCCCTGGCGGCCCGCCGGCCCGTGGGGCTGCGGATTGCGCCGCGGTTTCAATCCTACTTCTGCCTCTCAAGAGCTGAGGACAACTTACTTCATTTCTCTGTGCCTCGGTTTCCTCATCGGTAAAGTGGGGCCACCACTCGTAGGCATGCTGAGAGCTGATGTAAGGGTTCAAATGACGCGGAGTGCGGGGCCCACGGTAAATGCGGGTCCGCGAGAGCCCTCAAGACAGCCTCATCACGCAGGCCCACCCCAAACAGTGGCTGTGCCAGAGACAAGCATAAAACACAGGACCCCGGCTGGCTGTCCTGCCCCTTCGGTTTGCACTGTACTCTAGGGACCAAAGGGAACTCACGTTATTCTTCCACAGCCCTCACTTAGCAAACAGCCATCCTATTGCCATCTGTCAGGCATAACAGGGTTATGGCTTCCTTGGAAGGATGGAGGTCCCAGGGTTATGGGCTTCCTTGGAAGGATGGAGGTCCCCGCAGGCTCTGGAAGGAAACAGGCTGGGGCTCTGAGGGCAGACTTTTTTCCAGAGTCCAGTGAGCCTGGTCTAGAAGGAGGCATGAGCTGGATGGTCATTCCCCCTTGGCCTTCAAGCTAAGGCCTGGGGCTTAGGGCAGAGATCCAGTCAACCAATCTAAGGTCAGTACTGGGGACCAAAGGATGCACATTATGTCCTGGGCAACCTATGCAGGCTTTGCAAACTGGTCACCCCTAGGCCACATGCAGCCCACAGAGGAGGGTGCTTTTTTTCTGATTTACAGTTAAAAAAAAAAATCAAACTAGTTGCCCACATTTTTAAAAATCAAGAATTTCACTTATACCTACCTATTTCTCCAGGAAATTCATAAGATCTCTCAAAATGCAGCCCACATTATTTGGGAGTATCAGTAAGTGAGACGTGGCTGCTGTCCCCAGGCATGGTCTCTTGGCCCATCACCTTCCCCACTATGTACATTGCCTGTGTATGCATTCACAGCTCCCCTGTTTGGTACGAGCCTTGCTGCATGAGCAGCTGTGGTTTCCCACAACTGACACACAGGGACAGGGAAAGCTGAGGGATGATTTTGCTACCCTCTAGAGTGCTTTCGTGGAGAAGCTCTGACAGGGAGCAAGGATTCCTGTCCCTTCAAGGGTCCTTCTAGCTGGACTAAGAATCAAATTGACATTAAGACATTAATAGGAGAAAATCAAATTTAATAGAATACATATAGGGAATCCACATGGTCATGGAAATTCCAAAGACAGGCAAAATGAGATATATGTCATTCCGAACTAAGGAGAAGGGGATAGGGGCCTGGGATTTCAGAGGAAAGGAATGTTATCCACAGAATGCTAAGAAGAAGAGATGTTTGGTAATTAGATGTCTGCCCGGCCATGCAGATGGATCATTCAAATAAAATTTATCTTTGTGTGGCACCTGGGTGGTACAGTCAGTTAGGTGTCTGACTTTGGTTTTGGCTCAGGTTGTGATGTCAGGGTTGTGGGATCAAGCCCCACATCAAGTTCCATGCCCAGCATGGCATCTTCTTGACATTCTGTTTCTCCCTTTCCCTCTGCTCTGCCTCCCACTTGTGCTCTCTACCTCTCTAAAATAAATATATCTTTTAAAAAATTATCTTTACTAACAATCCTTATACTGGAAAGACCCTCCAAGTTAGATTCTTCTGTGTGGTTAAGGGAGGGACAAATTTCTCTTTGCCCACAGGGTCTCAATTTGCCTTCACCTCAAAATAATCCACATGCCAAAGTGGCACATGTGGGGGAGAGGCCTGTCCCAAATTCCTTCTGCTCAGTCTGTTTAAGGAAAATGGGCTTATAGCAAAGCAGGAACCAACAGAATGGGTGATTGGGGAAAAGTGTTTCCATTTCTTGGAAATACTCTGAGAAGAATGGAGTGCTATTTTTGTCTTGGGTGGTTTAGACATTTGGTAGCCTTGATATAAGATAAGAAGATAAACCACATGATAAAGAAGCTGTGGTATGTGTGTGTGTGTGTGTGTGTATAAATATTCAGGTGATACATATCACATATATATATGAATATTACTCAGCCATTAAAAGGGATGAAATCTTGCCATTTGCAACAACACAGGAGGCATAATGCTAAGTGAAATAAGTCAGAGAAAGACAAATATATGATTTCACGCGGAGATGGAATTTAAGAAACAACAAAAATGAACAAAGAAAAAAAGACACAAACCGTAAAACAGACTCTTAAATAGGGAGAATAAACTGAGGAATGTGGGGTAACCTGACCAGGTGGAGCTGGGGATCCAGGCAGAACAGAGACAGAAGTTTATTGAATACACCACAAGAGAGCCCAAGCAGGACTGCGGTGGGGGCTGCAGTTAAGGGGGAAGGAGAGGAAGTTTGGGAACCAAGGATATTTTCCTTTTTTGGTACCTGTGTGTGGGTATAAATAGCCCATTGGTCAGCTAGGGCTTATGGCTGCTTTTTTTAATGTATTCATTTCTTTGAGGGGGTGGGGCAGAGGGAGAGACTCTTCAAGCTGACTCCCTGCTGAGCAGGAGCACTACTCAGGTCTTCATCACATGACCCTGAGATCATGACCTGAAGCCAAAACTGAGTAGGACACTTAACCAACTGAGCCACCCAGGTGCCCTGGGCCTATGGCTATTTTGAAGTGGATCTTCATTTTTTTTTTTCTTGAGATTTTCTTTACTTATCTAACACAGAGAGAGAGAGTGAACACAGGCAGGGGGAGCAGCCGAGTCAGAGGGAGAAGCAGGGTGTCCACTGAGCAGGAAGCCTGATCCCGGCTCGATCCCAGGACTCCCGGATCAAGACCTGAGCCAAAGGCAGATGCTTAACTGACTGAGACACGCAGGTGCCTGGAGGTGGGTCTCCTAATGGGCCTGTCTGTATTCACCCCAGTGGTCACTGTGGGCCCTTCTACCTCACTTCAGGTTTCCATTGCTCACATTGGTTATCTAAAAGTAGCCTCTGAATCATCTGTAATATAACACTGTATGTTTATTCTACTGGAATTTAAAAAAGAAGAAGAAAAAGAAAAGAAGCTAAACTACATGATCTCTTGTGGTCTCTTTCAGGTGTCAGGGAGAAAGAAATTTTCCTTTTTTCAGAATCCTTCTAGCTGGACTAAGAATTAAATTTACACAAGACAAATTAACAGGACAAAATCGAATGTGGTTTCCCGTATCTGGGGAATCCACACAAACATGAAACTCCAAAGACAGGTGGCATGGGGGGTACAGGTGTCATTCTCCTGTGCATGTCTTATGTAAGAAGGTTCGGGTCTGGGTGTACAGAGCGGACAAGGCCATCAGCTGGAAAGTGGGAGAAGATGCTTACAACACAGAGTTTGCCCCGTTATGCAAACCAGTTTCTTAGGTAAAAAGAAATCTTTGTTAATAGCTGTCTTCCTGGTACAGGCACTCCTTTCTAATGTAAATTTAGACAGTTGAGGGGGAGGTAAAGAACTTTTCCTGAATCCATTCAGTTTTGATTACTTTTTAAAGATTTTATTCATTTATTCCTGTGAGACACACAGAGAGAGGCAAAGACACAGGCAGAGGGAGAAGCAGGCTCCCTATGGGGAGCCCAATGGGGACTCAACCCCAGGACCCAAGATCATTCCGAGTCAAAGGCAGATACTCAAACACTGAGCCACCCAGGTGCCTCTTTAACAGTTTTTTTTTTTAATTTTTATTTATTTATGATAGTCACACACAGAGAGAGAGAGAGGCAGAGACACAGGCAGAGGGAGAAGCAGGCTCCATGCACCGGATGCCCGACATGGGATTCGATCCCGGGTCTCCAGGATCACGCTCTGGGCCAAAGGCAGGCGCCAAACTGCTGTGCCACCCAGGGATCCCCGCCTCTTTAACTCAAAATAATCTTCATGCCAAAGCAGCCCATCTTGGGGTGGCCTATTCTGTGTCCCAACACAGATCTAGGATTTTATAACTCTGTAGGAGAGATAGAAAAGAAAACTTTAACCTTGGGGAGTTTATAACACAAGTGGAAAAGACTAAAGGGGAGCAGAATTTGTCATCCCCAGAATATGCCTCTTTGGCATAAAAATTAATTTAGGTTGATTATTTTTCTTTATTTATTTATTCAGAGAGAGAGGGGGCAGAGACACAGGCAGAGGGAGAAGCAGGCTCCATGCAGGAAGCCTGACGTGGGACTCAATCCCTGGTCTCCAGGATCACACCCCCAGCTGCAGGAGGCACTAAACCACTGCACCACCAGGGCTGCCCTAGGCTGATATTTTTAAGAAATAGTAGACACAGGAGAAGCTCTGAAAACAAACTAGAAATTGCCCTTTTGTAAAAGAAACATACATTTATAAGGGAAATCTCCATTAGTTTGGGGGGGTTTTTTGGTTGTTTTGTTTGTTGGCTGGGGACAATATACTTGATGGCACATGGCAAGGTCAGGCTCCCCAAACTTCTCCCCATCTTCAGGGGTTCTAGGATGGAAACTATGTAGAGGTCAGGAGATTCTCAGTATGTTGGGGAATGAGTTGGGTTAAGGACTCCCCAGCAGCTGAGAGCCTCCCTCTTCCTTGAGCTCTTCCTTGAGCTCTTCCTTGAGCTCTCCCTGGGGCTCTTACTCCTTGGAGGCCATGTAGACCATAAGGTCCACCACTTTCTTGCTGCAGCCAAATTCACCATCATCCTGGGAAATGAGCTTGATACAGTGGTCACTGAGGGCAGTGCCAGCCCCAGCATTGAGGGTGGAAGAGTAGACATCACTGTTAAAGTCACAGGAAACAACCTGGTCCTCACCAAACCTCAGAATACCCTTGAAGGGGCCCTCTGATGCCAGCTTCACCATCTTCTTGATGTCATTGTATTTG